AGGGTGTTGCCATTTCCCTGTTCCTTCCTTGTGTTCATGGCAGTAGTCATTTTGCTCTGGAGAGATGATGGTCCAGTGGTTAAGAGCATGTACTGCTCTTGCAGAAGACTAGGGTTTGGTACCCAGCACTCACACCAGGCAGCTCACAGTCAGTCACCTATAACTCCAGATCCAGGGGATGTAATGCCTCTGGCTGCTGAGGGCACTGCGCTAGAGCACAGACTGTACTCAAGCATACACATACACACATAAAATAAAAAGTAAGTTCTAAATGTCAGATTACAGATTTCAGGATCCTAAACCCTGATATCAAGTCCACAGTTTGAACACAGGGCTGGACAGGATGAAGCGTAATAGGCATGATTTATGGCCCTTGGGCTCTGAGAAGCTGCTTTTAGGAAAAATCGATGGCAGAGGGGTGGGTGTCAGCTGCCAGCAGGTCTGGCGGAGGGCCGAATGTCATGTTATTAGCGTTCCCTTCTGCTCCCCTTGGTCAAAGTCCAAGCAGTTATCAGGTGAGGCGTCCTGCAGCCTCATGGGCTCTAATGTGAGTGCCAACCACTGAGCCCAAAGGTCTTCAGTGGCATCGGTGCTACTGTTCTTAAATTTTTATTACACTTGTTTATTTGTATGTGCGCACGTGCGTGCGTGTGTGTGTGTGTGTGTGTGTGTGTGTGTGTGCGTGTGCGCGCGTGTATGGTGTGCTACTGCGTGAGTGTGATGTCAGAGGGAAATTTTGTGGGAATCAGTTCTGTCCTTCTACCACATGGCTCCCAGGGATTAGACTCAGGTCCTCGGGCTTAGCCCAAGCACTCGAATCTCTGAGCTATCTCACAAGCCCTTCTCTGTGTTTTGAGACAGTCTTGATACGCAGTTCCAGCTGGTTTGAAACTCGCTATGGTAGACCAGGGTAGCCTCAAGTGTGTCGGATTCCTTGACCCTGAGTCCCAAGTGTTAGGACAACAGGTGTGTACCGCAATGCTCAGCTCTGGCTCCCTCCCTCCCTCCCTCCCCTCCCTCCCTGGTTCTTTAATTTTTTCTTATTATTTATGTGTGTATGTACACATATATGGGCATATGCATGCATTGGCACACATGTTGAGGTCAGAGGACAACTTTTAAGCGTCTTTTTTCTCCTTCCCATATGTGGGTCCCAGGGATCAAACTCAGGTTGTTGAGTTTGCCAGCAGGTACCTTTATTCACTGAGCCATCTTCCTGGCCCACTGTTTTTACTAGACAGGTCCCAGGCTGGCCTTGGACTCTGTGTGTAATCCAGGATGACCTTGAATCTCTGCTCTCCCTGCTCCCACTTCCTGAGTGCTGGGATTGTATGTGGCCTCAGATTAGATCTAGGGCAAGCACGCTATCAACTGAGTTGTAGCTCTGGCGTTTTCTCTTCATTCATCTAAACAGGCGCTAGAGCGGAGGATCCATGACTAGCGACAGGAGGTCTGAGCTGAAGGTTTCAGGTGCTGGGTGGGTTCTCTTACCTGGGCTGGGTCCCCGGGCCAACAGCATTATCAGCAGAAAGCTGACTGGCTTGTCACTATCTCACATAGAAAGGCCGCTTTTACTTTGTAGATGTTTGGAACCAACTCCTGCAAGCCATCCTCTGACTTCCTCTTAGGCACTGTGGCGTGCCCCCCCCACCCCAGGGAAAACATCATTTTACAGAAAAATGCGGCTGGGTGCAGAGGCACACGCCTGTAAACCCAGTACTTGGGAGGCAGAGGCAAGCAGATCTCTGTGAATTGTGAGTTCGAGGCCAGCCTATCTACGAAGCAAGCCCAGGGCAACCAAGGCTACACAGAGAAACCCTATCTCAAAAAGAAAAAAAAGAAAGAAAGAAAGAAAGAAAGAAAGAAAGAAAGAAAGAAAGAAAAAAAGAAAAAGAAAGAAAGAAAATCTATCAGTACAACAACAACAAAAACACAAACACTGCCCCCCCCATTAAAAAAGACATGGGTTTTTTTGCTATCAAACTAGCAAAGACAAGAAAAAGCTAGTTTTCACGCTGGGGCTCCGATGTAGGGCATAGATGTCTTTTCAAGTGCTGGTCAGTGGGTTCACTGGCACAGCATACGGAAAACAGTTTGAAGGTGGCTCCAAAGAGCTTGAGAAAAGTAACAGGAGAATTCCCATGAAATCATGTGAAGCAACGAAAGTCACACAAACAGATTGTATGCTATGTGATCTATTTATATAAAACATTTATGCTTAAGACTAAGAAAACAGGTAAAGGACTTGAATGAGCTTTTTTCTTCCCCTCCTCCTCTCTTTCCTCTTCTTTGAAGGAGGGTCATGTTTTGGAGTCCAGACTGACCTCCTACATGTTAGCCAAGCATGCCACCAACTGAACCACAGCCTCAGTTCTGTTTAGGGATTGTTTTTGTTTTTGTTTTCAAGATATGTTTCTCTGTGTATCCCTCGCTGTCCTGGAACTGCTCTGTAGAGCAGGCTGGACTCCAACTCATAGAAATCCACCTCTCTGCCTCCCCAGTGCTATGATTAAAGGTGTGTGCCACCATCCCCCAGCAACTTGGAAGGAATGTTTTAATGGCTGCTTTCAAACGTTTATAAACGCTTCGTACTTAAGCATCTTCTCCACTGCAAACATAAAAAGTTAAGAAAAGCCCCTCTGTGAAGTGGGGTGACAAAACCAAACATACCCAGGAAGTAACCTCAGGAACACACGGGTCAAATCACTAATGTCGTGTCACTTTATTCACGCCTTGTTTAGCCACAGGGAAACATGCTGAGAAATGTGTCATGAGTAGATTTTGCTGGGTGCAAACATGGTGGAGCATGCTTATAGGAACCAAGAGAGCTGTGATGTCACCGGGTGATGCGAGCTCAGGCAGCTGTGATGTGACGTGAGATATGAGTTGCTCACCATTGGCCGAAACTGCAAGCAGTATATAAGTATATGGTGACATATGTGTCAAGCCCTCTGTGAGGCTGAGCACAGAGGGCACCAGGTCACATGTGACTAGGCTGGTTTTATGAGTGAGGTTGCCTGGTACCTTCACAGCACCAGACAGGGCCTGTCCCTTGTCAGGGGTAAGTTACCTGATCTGTGCAGTGTTGTGTTTGGGGAGTGTCAGACTGGAAAAACCAGGGTCCTGGAAGGCCTTGGGCTAAGTCTGTAATTCTGTTTTAAAGAAGACAAGGTATTTGTTTGCTTGCATGTGAGGGCACATGTGTGTGTTGCGGCTGTGTTTGCACGTATGTGCACACACATGAGGAGGCCAAAGACCAGCCTTGGTGGCGTGCGAGCTGACCTTGTTTTCTTGAGACAGTCTCTCGTTGGCCTGGAACGTTCCCAGAGGCTTGACGGGCTGCCCAGTGAGCCCATCTCTGCTTCCCCAGTGCGGGTGTTGTGATGTGTGTGCCCCGTGCCTGGAGTTTTCACATGGGTCCTGAGGTTTGAGTTCATGTCCTTCTGGCGCAAGGAAGCAGCTTACAGACTGGGCTCTCTCCACACCCTGAAAAAGAGCTCTGCCTTGGTCCGGTCACAGAACTGAGAGAAACAGCCTTGGGGATTCTCAGGCTTCGGGCTCCAGCTTCTTACACGCAACGGGACTAGCACACAGGACCTTGTTACACAGTCTAGACTTTGAACTGCCCTGTCCTGACTCTGACTCTTGGCCATCCCTCTTCCCCCAAGAACTCCTGAGCTCACTCGGTTGGGGTTATGCTGACATCTTGGGCTTTGCTGATAGAAAAGCAAGAGTGAAGGCTGCTAGTCTATAGAAGCAGGACCTCAGGGGCTACGGGGTGGGGGTGCTCCAGCTGCTCAGGGGAAGACCATCTCCTTTCTCCTGAGGCATTTCTGAAGTAGTTTGGCTGTCATGGCTGAGGTACTTTAACTGTCCGAAGGTGACTGAGGCCACCGCTTCCTACTCCGGGACAGCCCCACTCCTCCCAGCTCTACTCACTTGTAGGCTGACTGGAATCCACCTTCCACATCACTAATGTTTGATAAAGGACCTGTGCACAGTGGCCTTTCCCAGAACCTGGGAGTTTACAGTCGCTGCCTGGGCACCTTAGAGACTTCTGCTTTCAGCATGAACAAGTCTGTGTCCTCCCTCCAGGGCGGGGCTGGAGGCTCCGCACAGCCTGGCCTAGCAGTTGCCTAGGATTTAAAACAAGGTGGACAGACTGATTCCTTTTGTTTTTCTGGGCCAGGTATTAACTGAACTTTAGGTTTCCAGGTACTATGCTGTGGGAGACACCAGTGACAAAATGCAAATGAAGGTAATATAGTTTTACCTATCAAATTGGCAGAGGTGATAAAGGGCTAAAATTTCCAGAGTAGTGTTGGGATGTGCGGAAGTGAGTTCCCTCAGAACGCTGGTCACTGGGTTGGTGAGCACAGCATTTGAAGGTGACTGCAAATTATGACACCTTAAACTTTACCCTGTGCATCAAGCAAGGAGAGGACAGAGCAGCTGCCCTGGACACCGTGTGCTAATAGGAAAAGCTGGCCCCAAGCTCCCCGTTAGTTTTTCAAATTCCTTTATTTTTTTAAATTTTATATTGGTTTATTTGCTTTACATCCCAACAGTGACCCCTCCCTTCCCTCCTCCCAGCCCCCACCTTCCTTCTTCTTCCTTTCCCTCTCACTTTCCCCCCAGAAAAGGGAAGCCCCTCCCCCTCCCGGTATTAACCTTCCGGTCACATCAAGTTACATCAGGACTGCTCTTATCTTCATCCTCTGAGGCCAAGTAAGGCAGCCCCGCCAGAGGGAAGTGATCCAAAAGCAGGCAATAGAGTCCATGTTAGAAACAGCCCCCCCCAACTCACCAGGAGCCCAATATGAAGACCAAGCCACCGATCAGCTGCATGTGTGCAGGGGCCTGGGACCAGACCGTGCCTGCTCTTTAGTTGATGTCTCAGTTTCTGAAAGCCCCTATGGGGCTGGGTTAGTTGTCTCTGTTGGCCTTCTTGTGAGGTGCCTGTAAGCTCTCCTTTCTTACATGGACCCATTTCTCTGTAGCAAGAAACACATGCATGGAAAGATGGCACCTCTAAAGAGCTCCATGCCCTGCACAGAGGAATCAGAACAGGTCCAGGAACCCCCAGAGAGCAGGTAAGGTCCCATCCCAATCAGAGATAAGCCCACACTGGGAAGCATGGGAATTGTCAGGAGGGACCTGCTCCTCGGAGGTGGATGGCACACTCTAAGGGGCTGGGAAGATGCCTTATCAAATCGCTTGCTTGTCCAAGCGTGAGAACCTGAATCCAAGCTCAGGGCCCACATGAAAAGGAAACGGCCGATTGGTGGTGTATGTTTGTAATTCTGGTGCTGGGGAGGGAGAGACAGGAGGAGCTGTGAGGTTCTTGGGACAGCCAGTCTGGCCTAATTGGAGGACTCCTAACTGGTGAGAGCTCCTGCCTCCTATGACATGGAGAGCTTTTCTAGGGGTGACTCTCGAGGTTGCACACATACAGATGTGAGAGGGAGACCTTAAGACTGAGTCAGGCAGGACTCCCGAGCATGCCTCGTAGGCCGGGCACAGCCTTCGGAGGCCTCTTCCTCCACCCTGCAGCCTGCCCCTGTGCCTTGGCACCCAGCAGGGGCGGGCTTCTCAGGTTACTCATCTCCACCCTGCCCACCTGTCCTTGGGCCAACCTGGCCAGGGCAAAGCCTTGTATTTCAGCGTGTTCTTTCCTGCTCAGTTGAGTGTGCTGAGTACCTCAGTGAGGGACTGCGGCTTGCCCAAGGAGGCTGCAAGGAGGGCAGATCTGTCCGGATCATGGCCCTGGAGCTGTGAGTCTGAGCTTCCATCTTGTACACCCCCAGATTGGTCTCTGAACCCTCGTTGCTTGTGCCTCTGCCTATTCCTTGGCTGGAGAAATTAGCATCTTGGGATACTGAGGCTCGGTCCAAGCATACCTTTGTAGGTGTGGGAAAGGGGGCTCATGAGTGCCTTCCCCAGAGATAAGCCGTGTGCCTGAAGTTCTTATTTTACTGTTTCCGAGAGAAGGGCCTTAGTCTCCAATCTCTGCTCTCATTTTCTGGCTCAAAGCCAAGGCCAAATTGGCACTGAGGCTATATGGGTCGGACTCACGGGTCCCTTGTCCCTGGAATGGTATGTCTCCTTTGCAGTGTGCACTGGTCGGAAGGCTCGAGGGGTGAAGAGATAAAGAAGTATGGCCGGGAAGGGGTAAGTGCGGGGCCGGGCCACCTTTGTGCTGCTCACTGAGGGCGGTGCCCTGAGATGCCCAAACCACTCTTGGTCCCTTGGCCACCAGGCTTGTTAACAGGGACCCAGAAGACCCGAGTTGCCTGGGTGGAGATGGTGTGTCCCCTCTAGTCACTGGCTGCCTGTCAGAACTTAACATTAGTAGGAGATGAATGGTCTCCTCGTGGCTGGAGCAGGGCCCTGTGGTGGTCTGATCTCCAGCCTGCAACCTCTCAGACCTGGGCCTTATGTTTGCAGACACTAATGAGCAAATACAACCAGCAGTACCACAAGCTGTTTAAAGACATCCCCTTGGAGGAGATGGTTCTCAAAGGTGAGCACCGGGAGCCTTTATGCTTAATTTACATATGGGGCAATTTAGATGCAGTTGGTCCTTTTTTCCTCAACAGCCTAAGGAAATGGTGGTTAGGGATTGGAGCTGAAGTGTGCAGGTTTGTCTGAGGAAAGGTTAGACTGCCCCTGGCCTGCGCGCCTCTCGCCAGTGAGCACTGCCCCTGCCCAGGCTTCTCACTGAGCATGCCGGGACACTCACACCATCTAGACTCTCTTCTCCAGGCAGGGTAGAGCCTCTCCCCAAGGTGACAGAAATCCAGGCCTGGAGACTTAGGCAGGAAATTGCTCAGACCTCATGGGTAAAGGAGAAAGAGCAAACCCGGGCAGTCTGGCAGGGTGGAGGGGACACTCGGGATTCTCCGAAGGACCTGTAAGCACTGCTGGGTAGGTCATATGGGATGGGGGCTGTGAGAAGGTGGTGCTCTGGTTAACCTTGCTTGTGGCTGGCTGTTCTCCTGTGGCTTCCCAGTGTGCTCCTGCGCCCTCCAGAGAGACCTCCTTCTCCATGGCCGGCTCTACATCTCCCCCAACTGGCTTTGCTTCCACGCCAGCCTCTTCGGCAAAGATGTCAAGGTAGTAATGAGTGGTGAGGCTGGCTGTTACCCAGGAGGCCTCTGCCTGGGCCAAGGGAGGGCACTTTCCCGGCCTGTGGGCATGCCCCGAGCCACGCCTGCCCCCTGTGTGCCCAGTACGCGGTGAAACCTCTCACTGGTTGGATGAGCAGGTGTCCCCTCCCCCCATCTTCAGGGAGGCAGTTTCCCTTCTAAAGCACAGGCCCCATCTTGATCTTACACCTGGCCTCAACAGCTGACAGCTAAATTATGCCAGCTTCAGGTATCTCAGAAATGCTTTCAGGTCAGAGTGTGCTGTTATTTCTGGGGAGAGTCACTAGTCTGACTAAGAGCCAGCTCAGGGGACTCTGAGTCCTAAGCAATGAGTTATCAAGGCTGAGGGAAGGAGGTAGGGATACTTGGAAGGGGACCCTGAATGAGAAAGTGGAAGGTCTAGAGGCCCACCTCCCACCCCACCCCCATCCCCGCTACCACACACAAACATGGCTTCGCCAGTGTGTGCATTCCTGCCTGGGTGCTAGCTTTGTCTATCCCTTGCCCCAGTGCAGAGAGCCAAGGGCCTGTGTTCTTGGGGGATAAGTCCTGAGAGACATCTCTCTTTCCTCCTCACCCCCCGTCAGGTGGTCATTCCTGTGGTATCTGTGCAATTGATCAAAAAACACAAGATGGCGCGGCTCCTTCCCAACAGACTGGCTATCACCACCAACACCAGCCAGAAGGTCTGTGAGTCTCTGGCTCAACAGCTCTTGTCCTTTTTCCCATTGTACCTCTAGAAACTCATGACCTGATGCTAGCCTACTCCCAGGCCTTTGCTTCTCCTTGCCCTGTAGCTTTTCAGGAGATGTTTCAAACTAATGAGCTAGAAGAAGCTTTCCCAGGAGGGAGGTCTTGTTGCTCACAGCCCCATTAACGTCTGGGCTCACCCCTAATTTGTGGACATGGCCTGCTGGCGCAGCAGGAAGTCCCATCTCACTCTAGCTCTTCTGTTTCCTTTTTATGTCCCAGTATGTCTTTGTGTCTCTGCTCTCCCGGGACAGTGTATATGAGCTGCTGAGGAGGGTCTGCACTCATCTACAGGTATGGGACCTGGAGGCAAGGGTTGGGCTGCGAGACTGCACCAGATCCTTTAGGGGAGGTGAGCCTGTTCCTCTAGCACTGCGGAATGGGGGCAGAGAGAGGGGAACTGAATGTCGGGGCACAGTGCACAGTAGTACAAGATGCCCCCTACCCTCCTGCTTGCTGCGCACAAACGCTGTGACCTGGGCCTCGCTGGCACCGAGTAGCTTGTTTACAGGGCCCTTCCTGTGTTTGATCTTGCCTGTTCCCTTTCTTCCCCAGCCGTCCAGCAAGAAGAGTCTGAGTGTAAGGAAATTCCCAGAGGAAGCTGAGTGCGAGCCCTCGGTGAGAGCTGAGGCTGGGTGCAAGGGCCTGAGAGTGGGCAGGTCTTCAAACTTTGGGGCCACTGGGTTCTAGAGCCACTGGCCACAGTGTGCCGGAGAGTGTCCATGCTGCACAGTCCGCAGACATCCGCAATGGGCTTGTTGACTCTGAACAGAAGTCTATCCCGCAGACACTGGCCAGGTTGAGCCCCAAGCCAAATGGATGCACAGCCACTCACCCATCCTCTCTCGGTGGAGGAAGGGGGACTTTCAAAGCCACAGACATATTCTTAGATAAGAACTCCAAAGCCAGGGCCTGGAGAGGCTTCTCAGTGGTTAGGAGTGGTGGCTGCTCTTGCAGAGGACCTGAGTTCAATTCCCAGCAACTACATGGTGGTTCACAACCATCCATAACTCGAGGCCCAGGGGATCCAATGCCCTCTTCTGGCCTCTCCTGAGCTAGCTGAATGCATGTGGTCACACAGACATATCAGCAGGCAACCCCCATACAAAACCATAAAAAAATAAAAGAACCCCAAGGGTGTCACTGACAGCCCAGACTTCCAGTTTCCTCTAGAAGCTGAGACCCTGGGCAGGGAGGGCTGAGTTTTGAGGGCAGAGATGGAGTGGCAGTAGCCTCGGGAGTTTTGCGCCCTCTCAGGAGCTGTTAAGCATTTAGCCAAGCATGTAGTATACAGAGCACCATGCAAGGGTGGGAGGTGATGCTCCCTTTTGTACTGTAGGAGCCATAAGTCACCTCTGCCTACTTCAGTGGCTTGTTCATAGTCAGAGGCTGAATTAGAAGAGGCCATAATTTGTACCATCTGAGGCAGTCTTGAACTCTGCTCTGAGCACATCCCTGGGCTGTCTGACTGCAGACAGTCATTGTACTTCTTCACTATGGTCTTCAAAGATATTGTTTGGGGGGAGGGTCTCAATTTTTTTCCTGGTGATTTAGCTACAGGTAAGTTGCCCATGCTCATAAGAGGAACTCGAATTAAACTCAGGGGGCCAAAAAACAAAGAGTAGGAGTAGTTAGGAAGACAGAACAGACCAGCTGGACGGGAGAGAGAGTGTCAAGAGAACGTAATGCAGGTAAATGTGGTTACAATGCATTATATATGTATAAAATCATTTAAAATGATGTAAAATTCAACCAAATGTCTTTTTTGTAATACTATGAATGATATAATTACAGTTGTTAATTAATAAAGATGTTTTCTGGCAGAGAGAGGCTACAGCCAGGGAACAGCTAGGAGAGACATGTCTCTGTGTTCTGCTCCTGAGTAGGCCTTTGGGTTGGCAATGGCTGGGGAAAATCTTGAGCACCCTGAAGTGGGCTCTCAGGACAAGGACACTCACTTGTCTTCTCTGCAGGACGTGCTTACTCCTGAGATAAAGTGGAGAAAAGTGTGCCCGGCCTCCTCATCCCTGTCACTCCCAGACAGCATCTCCTGCATCTCTCGGACACCCACAGACTCCACAGAGAGCTGCTTCCCCTCCAGGAAGCTGCCAGTGTCTGGTGAGCTCAGAATCTCGGCTGTGGCAACTGCCTGCCGAGGCTCCGCCTCTTCTCTCACTTCTCTGCACAGAGCCCAGCACGGCCCACCAGGCTTCTGAGAGCTGTTTCTTTCTTTCCCCAAATCCATATGGAAAGTCCGGGAGCCCGAGCAGCCTCCGCCCATGAAGGAGGGGAGCTGCCCCACCTGGGGGGGCCCCTTTGTGCCCCAGGAAGATGTCTAGCTGCTGTCCCATTGCAGAGACTGTCTGTGAGGAAGATGTCCTGGAGGAAGAGCCCACCGCAGAGCAGGAACTGAGGCTGTGGGATTCCCAGCTCCTCAAAGTCATCTTCGTGATGTAGGTGTCTCTACTGCAAGGGGAGGGCAGACTCACTCAGGTGTTGGTGATTAGAGGTTTGAACTGGGGGTGAGGGGGGTGGTGGTTATTACCTAGACCTAAGGGAATGTTCCAAACCAACTCCAAGCTCTTGGGTGGTTTCTGAAGGCCTCATGGCTCATCCTTCCAGCTTTATTTCTGAGCGCCTGTAGTTAAACTTCAGGCAGTGTTACGGCAAGGGGCAGAGTAAACTGTTGAGAAAAGGAAAAGTTGCTACCCTGGCTTGAGGAGAGAGGGTTAACAGAATTGTGGAGCCCATCAGATAATGGAGAGAAATCCTAGCTAGGGAAACACATGACCTTCCAGTGCCTACCATTAGGACAACTGTTTGTCTGTATTCCTCTCTCCTCTTCCTTTTTAAACACAGTATATATGTATGCATGTTCAAATGTATGTGAGGGCATGTATATACCTGTACACATAAAAGCCATAGGTTGATATTAGTTTCTTTCCTGATTGCTCTCCAACTTATGTATCAGGGTTTCTCGTTTGAACCAGCCTGGGAGAGAGAGGCTGTAGCCATTCCCCAAGTCGTCACGTAGGGCCAGAGAATGGCTGCAGGGATGAGCCTGATTTGCAGAAATCATGTGAAAAAGCAGAATTCCCAGGGTTCTAGAGAGCGCCTGGTCTGGGCACCTCCAGACATTAGCCAGGGCTTACCTTCCAGTTGGCAAAGGCCTCTGGATATTGGGAGATAGTAAAGGGGGTGGGGGAGGAAAAGGAAGCAGATGAGCGGAAAGATCTGAGCTTATTTACTTGACAGACTACAAACTCAGAAGTTTCAGCTGGAGACTGGTGGCTGTTAAGCCCTAGTAATCTTGGCCAGTGGCCATATGCTTGATGGGTAAAGGGAGATGGGAAAAGTCACCCAGAGAGGGGGGTGGGCCGGGATGTGGAACCCCAAAACCTTTTCCTGGTTTTGGGACCAAATGTTAGATGGGATTGATGGAGGCAACATGGAAGTTTAGGGTAGAAGATGGGCCCCTCCAGACGTAGAACTGGTCTTAATCAGAGCAGTAGAAGGGCCGCAGGCTCTGTGTCTATGTGGCATGGGGGTCTTGGGGTTTAGTAAGACAGAAAAGGGGGGACTTTGGCGACGGAAGTGTCATTTCCTCTGTAGTCCAGAAGTGGCAGATACCAGTGGGGTTAGTGTGTGGCTCTCAGGAACTTCTACTGGTGTCATCACCAGTCAGGTCAGCCTTCCTGTCCAGACTTTCTCAGTCCACCCAAGGATCCACTTCAGGTGTTAACCCTTCATCATCCACACTCTGTCTCTGCCGTGTAGGTAGTTACTCTTCATCGTCTACATCCTTGTGTCTAGGGTTGAATCTCAACCTCAGCCCCTCTAGGGGAAGGGGCCTGCTGCGTTAGACACTGACCTCTCCTGCATGGCTGCTGGAGAAGGTATAGGAAGAAGGGAGGTGGCTAATTGAGAAAGTAGGAAAACACCTTCATTTGTCTGTCTATGGCTTCCTCCAGGGCTCGGCCTGAGGACCTCAAATTCCTGCTAGCTGTAAGGGTGTTTCAGTGAAGACAAGCCTCAGGCCACCCCTGTGGCCTCTAAGAAGAGTGATGTCAGAGCCTGTTTAATGAACCGGAGCAAGGACTCTTTTAACCCTCCAATTTGGGGAACAGGATAGTTGTGGTGCTATTTCTGGGTCACCTCTACCAATGCCCTTTCTTCAGGAGACAGGTTCAGCTCCTAGCCCGGTGCGCAATGCACATGGCTATAAGGCCATGTAAATGTAGGCTGTGGTAGAAGGATTGTGGCCTGTCTGGACTATGTATTCAGACGTCCCCAAAACAAAACTAAGCCTGACTCAAAAACAAAACCAAAACGCAAAAAAGACAGCTGGAGATATTACTCGGTTGAAGGATGCGACCTGGCATACAGAAAGCCCTGGGTTTGGTTCCCCAGCACTATCTAGACCAGGCATGGCGGTCCGTGCCTGTAATCCTAGCAGTTGAGAGGTAGAAGCAGAAGGCTCACGACTTCAAGGCCATCCATGAAACATATATTGTGTGAGGTCAGCCTGGACTGCATACGCTGTCTCAGCAAAACAAAGCAGAGGCAGGCAGTTAAGCCTGCACAAGAGTTCTGTTTCCTCGCAGCCCTGTGGGACAGCTCACAGCCACCTGTAATCCGGTTCTGGGTGATCTGATGCCCTCTCCTGGCCTATGTGGGAACCTGCATACATACACATAACAAAAAAAAAATCTTTAAATCAAAACAAAATCCGAAAATCAAGAACAAGAGTCAACCCCTCGTCGCCCCTGTTTCTCCAGGATCTGCTTCTTAGTCGTGTCCTCGTCCTATCTGGCGTTCCGCATCTCCCGGCTGGAACAACAGTTATGTTCCTTGAACTGGGGTGGCCCACTCCCAGGGGACAGGTGAGGCCCTTTCTCTTCCTAAGATCTTTGGGATTGAAGGTAGAAGGTAAGGGCCAGGCTGCCACAACCTTGACTGAACTTGGCCTTAAGCAAGGTTGGATATGTGTGCAGGGCATCACAGATCTCACTCTGGCCCACTCTTGAGGGGAGCAGGGTCTCTGGGCCTTTTCTCTGATCTAAGCATCTTTCTTGTGTGCAGGTAACAGCCACTTGGTCTTCATCCCCATGCCTTCTTCATGGATGCTCTGGGCGCTGTCTCTACCAACGATTCCTGGGGTTTATACCGCAGCTGTGCTGGGACTGTATGAAGGACCATATTCCAGACCCTTCCTCCCGCCCCTCCCCCAACACTTGTTCCCCTCAATGAGCGATCTGAAGTGCTTGTTTACGGATTACCTGGCTCCTACAATTTTTGGACTCAAACAAAATGTTAGATTTTGTGTGTGTGTGTGTGTGTGTGTGTGTGTGTGTGCTTTAATCAGTTCAGGAGTTCTGTAAGCTTCATCGACCGCCCAAGTGATAGAAAACATATTAACTTGTTTTTTTCTGAGCAGTGGTCCTGGCACACGACAGAGGCCTGAGAGCCCCCTCCAGGGACAAAGGGCATGCTTTGATACCTGGGTTGCGGCTTGCTGTCACAGGGCACTGTAGTGCCCCGCCTCGGTGGGTGTGTAGAGCGGGGAGGGAACAGGCCCAGACTGCCTCCTGCCATTCTGTGAGCTCACTCTGGCCTCTCAGAGTCCTTGTTCTAGAGCCCACGGACTTCTCTGCAGGGCTGCACAGGGCTTGGGAGAAGGCAGGGATGTGGAGAAGAGAGCTCATGGCAGGGCTTTGGCAAAGAGTGCTCCAAGCTGAGCTGAGTGACTTGGGCTGGCCCTCCTGGAGCTGTCTAGCTGAACCTGGAGATAGGCCACCTACAGGGGAGGGATGGACGGGGCTGAGATTGGAGGTCCTTGTTCTGGAGCAGCCCCCTCTTTGGTAGGACAAGGGGAACAAGGACTTTGTAGTAGGCCTAGTCCCTGTGGTCACAGACAAGTTCCAAGGTCCTGGCCATAAGTGACAGGAAGGCAAGGGAATTTGATTGAAGGTCCAGTGGTTGGTGTATTGTTGGGGCAACCTGGCTGGGCAGTGGGGTCCGGCAGTTTGGGCACTTCCTGGCAGAGCTCAGTCTTGGCATGCAGGACCGTAGTCGCCATATGGTCCAGGCCACTTCGTAGGACCCAGCGATCATGAATAAGCTGTGAGTGTCAGTGGGACAGTCCAGTGCAGAGACCAGGGGAAAAGCTCTCCGCCCCCAGGGAGACGATGGGTGGGAGGTGAGGTGGGTGCACACTGACGGCTTTGCCATAGTCTGTCTACTTTTCTTCTAAAACAAAGTCTTGTTCATCCCCTCAGGACTCTCATCTGCTAAGACAGGGCCTTTGAAGGTTCTAGAAAAGCCTTAGGGAGGAAGCCAGGGGTCTCAAGGAAAGCCATTAAGGCCCCGGGCGGTAGGAGGGGAGGTGCTAGGGAGAGGCGTTGTTTCCCCTTGTCTTGTGCTGGGGTTTTAACTGGGGAAGAAACCCAGGTGGAAATTATTGCAGAGTTGTGATCGTCTCCCTCAGGATGAATCCAAGAGAGGCTGGAGAGAGGGAGAGCAGGGGACAGCTCCCTGAGCTCAGCTAGAGGTGCCTTCGTCATCTCCCTGTGCTAGTGTCAAGGGCTGAGCGAGGAACTGAGCATTATACATTCTCTCTACCAAATCCTCACAGCTCAGGTGAACCAGAGCCCAATTGGTCCCCTCCGAGCCAAACCCTCACATGCCGTCCTTTAATGTCTGCCCTTCTCGCTTTAGCCATCCCCACCCCTCTTTGCCATCACATTTTCATGGAAGCAACCCTCCCTGCCCCAGCGTTTTCCCTCCCTGGTCTTTGCCAAAAGGTAAGAAGACACATCCATCTCCGAGGCTTGCTAGGCTGAGCCAGGGTTGGGAGGTTCCAAGTGCCTGCGCCAACATGCTATGGAAAGCCGTGCCTCCAACCACGGCTCAGAAAGGGCAGGCTGTAGGGTAGCTAGCTTTGGAGGTTCGCTTGGGGCCAGGGCTTGGCGTGACACAGCTGTGTGTCTCCTCTTTGTCCCCGATTCTGCTCCTTTGGAGGAGCTGTGTGTCGGTTGATGCTGTTCATAATTTGTGAGTATTTCTGCATTCCCAATTGCGTTGGCCAATGCAGCTCTGATTCTCTGAGGGTTTGGTTCAGTAACAGTGGGTTGTCTGTCATGGCATTAGCCTTTGGGATTTAAAAAAAAATGGGTTAAATCCTAGGTACTGAAAACATGTTTTTTTTTAAAAAAAAAAAAAAAACCTTGATTTTTCTAGTGTCCTGTGGTGTGGAAACACCCTTTTACCGTGTGTGTGTGTGTGTGTGTGTGTGTGTGTGTGTGTGTGTGTGTGT